TCAATAATCAAATCATTTAATTTATCCATTTCAATATTCTAGTTTTAGTTAATATGGTGATGCAACGAACTTCGATACTATTTTAAAGAAAGATGATTAAGGGCTTAGGTTTTCTAATCCAATTTGATGATGCAACACATCTGGATGACACAAAAAATGAAGGTTCATATATCCAAAACACTAAAGACATAATAATTCACTTTCTTTGGCTGAAAACAAGAAAATAACAAATTGTATAACAATGATAATAAAATGATAGAATAAATTTAAAGTAGTAAAAAAAAAAAAAAGAAATGTGAACCAAATAAAATCAACCAACAATTGAAATGTTTCCACCACATTTGAAATCTTAGTTGTACCATATTTGAATTAAATAAAAAACTATGGCAAGTCAATAACAATATGTTTAGAAGAAATTGGACCAAAAAAAAAAACTCAACAGAGCAAAGAAAGCAACTCCTCGCATATGATACAAGGAGACATTTTCCCTGAAATTATGCTACATATGACCACGCTTGAAGAAATCACACATCAAACATGCACACAAGAATGAAATTGGAATTTTTTTTATCACTAGTTATCTATTACATGGCCCTAACCATCTATTTATAAATTTTCATATAAAATAATACAACATCAATAGCAAGCCTTTATCCCACTAAGTGGAATCGGCTACATGCATCCTTTTTCTCCAATGTGTCCTATTGAGTGTCATACTTTCATTTAATTCTAAAAAATTATGATCATTTTTTATACGATATGGTCAAATCTTTTTAGTTCTAAATTTACATTCCTTAACACTAATCAAATCTAAAACATCTACGATCCTAATTGGGTCATTCGAAGGTCGACATTAATGTGACCAAACCATCTAAGGTGACTCTCGAATCTTGTGTGCCACTGGAGTTACTCTAACCCTTTCACGGTTATATTTGTTTTGCATTTTATCTCTATAATCCACTCATCCACCTAAGTATTCTCATCTCAACAACACTTACCTAAATTTTATGCTTGTCCTCTTACAGGCTAACATTCTACACCATAAAGCATTACATGTCTCACCGCCATCTAATAAAATTTTTCCTTGAAATCTAAGCTGAACATTTCAATGACACAATAAACATTTCTATGACACAATAGGCCCAGTGCATTCCTCCACTTCAACCAACCAACTTGAATTCTACTAATAAAGTCCACATCTATATCACCACCACTTTGAACAATAGAACCAATATATGTAAAATGTTCACTCCTTTGAATGATTTGATAACCCATAGTTACAATCACCCACTAGATCTAATGTTGCTAAACTTACAGTTAACGTGTTCGGTTTTAGAACTACTCAACGAAAGCCTTTAAACTCTAAAGTTGACTTCCATAATTCAAGTTTTTCATGAAAACTCTTTCCAGTCTTATCCACAAGAAGGATATCACTAGCGAAAATCAAACATCAAGGTACATCCTCCTATAAATGTGCAATAATAGTATCCATAACTAAAGCAAAAAGATATAGGCTTAAAGTTGATCCCTAATATAATCCAACTGAAATGGGAAAAAAATTGGTCAATTCTCCTTGTGTTAGAACACAAATAATAGCTCTAGTGTGTGTGTGTGTGTGTGTGTGTGTGTGTGTGTGTGTGGGTGTGGGGGTGTATACATGTGACTTGAATATAAGCAATAATAACACCTTTCGTTTGTTGAACTCTTCAAAATACTTCTCTTGGAGCCTTATCATAAGCTTTTTTTTAAGTGAAATTTTGACAATCTATGTTCAATTACTCTCCCATAACTTTAATGTATGACGTGTTAACTTAATTCCAGTATAATTTGCACACTCTCTTGCATCATCTTTATTCATAAAAATAAGAAATAATCTACTCTTTTTCCGATCATTAGACATCTTCTTTGTCTTTAAAATAACACTAAGAAGTTTAGTAAGCCAAGAAATTACCGGATCTCCTAAACATTTCCACACTTCTATTGAAATACAATCAAGTCCTACTGCTTTTCCACACTTCAATTTCTTTAAAAAATCCTCAACTTCCATTTTACTAATAGAAAAGTAGAATTTCATATAAAATAATAAAAAAAAAATCATAGGAGGGAGCATAATCTCAAGAAGATAAGGCCAATAGAGAGGGGAACCAACAAGGAAGTCACATGGAGACTTCGAAAAAAGTCACAAAGAAAATCATGTTTATAGTTGATGGGATTGCTTGCAAAGTCGTAGGACCTACACACAAATAGGAACCAAACACAACACAAGTGCAGATTACAGTATTGTACATTAGACAAAAACAAAAAATGCAAACAAATTAGAGGCAATACAAAAATAATATGTGAAATAGGAGAAACCACAATAAATGTCGCCCACAAAACTTGGTTGTTGCAGCACTACATGACTTCCTAATCCTTAAACTAAATTTTAATTAGTAGAATTATAGGTTCATTTCCAAACCTTTGTTGTTGAGAAAATACCATAGAGTCTATTCTCCACTATGTCATTTTCAATAGATTATATTCTCACTATTCCTCTAAGATAATTAATTTTCAATCTATCTCTCTATCAATGGCTTCTTCATTGCCCACAAAAGCTAGCTTAACTGCATTTTTATATATCTTACTTTTAAGTTTTCATGATCTTCTTTTGTTGCATAGCATTACTAAGCCACTTTTCTTTTCAACAACCTAACATTTAGTTTATTATAATTAAAAAAAAGGACATTATTCTACCTTCTTACGTCTGGTGAAATTGCATAACTGATAGAACCAGAATGCAACAACTTATGTTGTTCTAATAATCAATAAACCCTTAACACTGCGCTGTCAGGACATCATCTTAACCTAATCCTGAGCAATAAATATAAATAAAAATTCCATCCTTCAGTTTTTTTCGAGCGCCAAAGAAAATATTCAGGGCCTCAAAAAGATCACTGAGAAGAAAACGATAAATGGAATTTATTTCACCAGAGATTCATACCTCTAACCTCTGCTTTGTAGATCAAAGGTAACAATAATCAACTTGAATCATGGTTGATTATTGACGAGTTTGAAACTTCAACTGCCCATTGCCAAGTTTTTTTAAGCAAGTTTCAACCAAGGTCATGCATGAGAAAACCTACGTGTTCTCATTTTCTTTACACAAATTACCTAAAAATGCATTTGCAAAATCCTAAATAAATGAATAACGATATAAAAGAATAAATAAACTACCTAAATAATGTTTTATCAATTGATATAAAAAAATCCCCAACCCAATTTTTATCTGAATTCCAGAAAAATCATTCAGAAAACAACAGCTACTAATCCATTTCACTACCACGATGGACACAGACAGAATCCTGCAATAGTCGAAATTGAAGATGCCCTGCGACACATCGCAGCAAGTCCAGTTCATCTTGCACGAGGAAAACCTATCCGATGACATAAAACCAACCATAACTCTGATAGAAATAATCGAGAAGAGAAGAAGGAAGACGACCTGCTGCTGGATCCTTGCCAGTTCCGCGGGTGCCATTTTGCTCATCTGTTCCTGAGCAAGCCTCATGATCTCGGGATCCATCATCGCGTTATACATCGCCCCCCCTCCAGTCTCCAACAGGCAACCGCTCACGCTCGATCCAAAACTAGTTGCTCCGAGAGGCAAAGGTACCTCAACGCAGAGGAGAAAGAATGGAAAGAGGGGAGACTTACAAATCAAACACCCCTTTTATTCTATTTTTTAAAATTCTCACTCAAATATTCATATTTTTCATTTTTATTAAATCCATAATATTTTGATTATAGATCATGTAAATGCTAGTTCAAAAAATCAAATAGGTGCTTGATTTATAAATAATAATATTTTTTATGGTATGCATGTAATTATCTCAAAATAAGATTGGGTTTCTCTTTTAAAATGAAAATAAAGAGCTTTCCTTTATGTGACTCTATGGCTTTAGGAGAGTCATTTTTTATTCTTTTTTTTTTGCCTGACCCAAGGTCCAAGGGTCGAAAGTCTATTAAATTTAAGAGAATAAATATAATAATTTAATTATACTAAGTAGGAACAAATAATAAATGATATATATATATATATATATATCA